TGCATACTCAAGCAGGATTATCAGGGCTGGGCTTACCAGCTTTCCCAGGATCAGCTTGGACCTCTTGGACCCCAGAGAAGATCTCCCAGGAAAAAGAAGTGTCTCCTCTCTACCTTTGTGCTATCAAGCAGTGCCTGGTAGAGCACATGCTGGAAAGCACCTGCCCTCACAACCAGCATGCATCCAGCTTTGCTGATCCCTTGCTGTAACATGCTCTCAGTCTCCAGGAACACTCGTAGAGTTCTTTTCAGTAAGTACAAGCTGATCCTTCTCTCCCTCTCTTCCCCTCGGAGCCACATGCTCGCAGCCCGATTCCCAGGCTGCCTGCTCTATATTCAGCACACGCCACTGCCTGCACCTCTGGTGGCATCTCTATGCTATGTGCCGGCACCCCGTGGCACACCAGCATCTCGCTGTTGTCCTGACCTCTTCTCATTCCCCCAGACAGGGAAACAGCAGGCAAAAGGCCCCCGAGCAACACAGTGCTCCCGAGCACAACATCGCGGTGCTTCTCTTCCCTTTTCCACCGCCTCTTTCACCGTGACAGTGCTACAGAGTCCCTGTGTAGACTGCAACGTCTCCTGCTCCGCAGGCAGGTCTACCAGGGCTGCTGCTAGTGGCAAAGACCTGATCTCCGATTCTCCCTGCAGCATAAAGATGGATTGCATCAAGTCAATCCAGCTATCCTGGGATAAACAACTTATTCGAGAATAAAAGAGAGGCTGTTAAGTCTCCCTGATTCCAATTTTGGCCACACAGCATTTCAACACCTGGCACTTCCATCAATCAGATTAAGTTAAACACATTTAGCCTTATAAGAAAAACAAACGAAAATAAGATGTGAAGATGCTTCATCTCCACTCCCCCAGCTTAGACAGGCTGCATTGCACGTGTGCTTTATACATCAATCAAGAACAGAAATTAAAGCAATATGAAAATAAATAGCAAAGGCACTGAAAACCCAGGGGCCACCTGCCTCCCCCAGCACAAAACTCACTCACAAACCATTCTCCAGAGGTCCTTCCTGCTATTCCCTGTGCCTCCCAGTCTACACGTTCCCAAACCAACCATTTGCTCTTCCCAGTGACAGCCAGGGCGAGTTGCTTCTGTGTTCCTGCCCCTTCCTGGGCAACGTAGCATAGCTGCACTGTGCAAAGGGGGCTAGACAAACCCAGGTTCAGAAAGAAACAAAGAAAGAAAGAGAAACAGAACAGGATAACCATCCACGTGCCATGCGTACCACATCTGCTCCTGACATGCCTAAAACTTCCTGCTGCAAATGTGAAGTTGTTCCATCACAGGGAAGTTGCTCTCTGTCTGCACCGACTCTGCCAGAACAACATTAAATTCAACCTTTAAACAACAGAATCCTTAATTTTCATGTCCAGGAGCTTCCCAAGAGGTCTTCCCAGGAGGTCGCAAGACCCACAGCACCTCCATGACAGGAAGGCTGGGGCAGAGCGGCAGGCAACAGTATGCTGTGATTGTTATTGATATTAATTATTTGGGGAGAACATGATTGATCTCATGAGGGCAATGAATTAGTTTCTCCAGCTGAATGACAAGCAAAAGGCAATGTATGCACTGCTGACATTTCCAAAGGCTACAAGGAACAGGGACAGAGAAAATACCTCTTTGTGTTAAAATCCCACTACAAAAGACCCAAAATCCGAGCAGTCTCAAAAGTTTTCACTTGGAAGTCCCTCTCTCTCTCTCTCTTTTTTTTTAATACTAGAAAGCAGGTGCCTTAATATTTTTAAAGCTGTTCCAGCCAGACCCTTGCCCTGAGCCAGTTCATCTCCTTGCAGGAGGAGAAGTGACGAGCCACTGAGCATCCTTGGAGGGTTGAGTTGAGCTCCCTTCTCACTTTTGACACTTCTTGTCAACAGCTACATGGTCATTGCACCTGTCTGACAAGGAGAAAAAGCTTCTTAGAAAGGGGAAAATACTTCGTGATGGCCACAGCCTGGGGCTATTCAGCAGGGCTGAAATGCCCCAGACACCTGCAGGAGGGTGGTGCCAAGATGCATCTCCTCTGTGCAGAGGAAGAGGAGGACCCAATAGCCCTGAAGAATGGGAATGTTCCTCTCCATAGTCTCAGATTAGGGGTGGCTGCATATGCCGCCTCCCAGGGAGCAAGGACTGAACTGAGGCTCGTTCAGACCCACAGCAGCTCTAGAGACAACAAGGAAGATGGATAGAGACAAAATACACCACAGCCTGTTTTTGCAGGAGGACAGAAGAAAGACAACACAATCCATGAGGCCAATCACTCCAGCAAGATCTGCCTTTTGTCTCTGATTCTCCCAGAACAACATCAGTCCCAGCTGGCTGAAGTTTGCCTGAGCAACAGAGTTTGGGATGCAGCAGGGGATCTGCACCCATTCAAAGAGAGTGGGTGCTTTACAAGCTCTTTGGAGCTTGCCAACACGATCACATTAGGCAGCAGCACATACATCCTCCCACTATCTGCTTCCCTTATAAACAAGGGCTAGAAGATGTTTGCGCTTGAAGCGGGAGGGGGAGGCAGCTATTTCCTCAAGAAAACAAATCAAATTATTTGTATTTAAGTGAATTTGTACAGCCCTTGCTTTCAGAATAAGCATTTTCTGCAGATCCCAGAGCTTTAAATCAATAAGTCACTGATAAATTTATGTGGGTGGAGAACTGGATGTTACTGTGGTGGGATGGAGGTAGTGTTGTTTTACTTTGGGATCTTTGTGAAGTTTGCTCTTTGCAGTAGGGCTTATTTGGCAAAGAAATAACTAGAAGTTTGGACTGCTGCCTCTGCCACTTACTATGCTCCCATAAGTCCTGAAGGTTGAAGATTTTTTTAAACATTTGCTAGTAGGGTACCAGTATGAGCTTATGACTGATCTACAGGAAACCTACAGAGGCACCAAGTGCCAACCATAGTGCTTGAAAACTTGTAGTGAGCCCTTCATAATCAGGCACCAGACAGCTTCCAGATGGCTATCCCCAAAACCGAACACATTAGCAGAGGCTTCTGAAATCTGTGCCTCCGTTTCCCCAGTCACATTTTGAATAACCTCACACCAGAGTTGCACGTCTTGATGTCTCTAAAGTGCTTAGAGACTCTGAGATGAAGGATAACACATGAGTGCAAAGGATAGATCAATTCCCTGAGCTTGGCAATCACTGCAGTTGATGGGGATAAATGTACCATGTATCTGCCACTGAAAATGTGGGTTCTGAGCCTGTCTTAAATAGCAACTACTTAAGCAGCAGCTCCCTTGGAAGAAGTCATCTTTGGGTTGGTTGGCTGGGCAAAAGGAGCCCCTGCGGATAGAAAACACAGAAATGCAATATACTACCATGAAAAATAGATGTTTCTTTCAAATAAGGGGTCTAATCTACTCTGGTAGAATTTGGTGGTGAGATTTCAACTGATTTTAGTAGGAATATGATGGAGCTGTTCAGGTTTACTAACTAGTATGTTAAGAAAAGAGCCAAATATAATCTGAAAAGCTATTTCCATCTCTGTTTGTTTTCTAAATGATTAAAAATCCAGTTTAAATATTGCAAGGAAAACTTTAAATCGAGCAAGAGAAGTTTTGGCTTCCTTCCGAGTAGAAGGCAATTCCCCAGAACGCTACTGCAGATCTAACAGATGGGAATTATTTTTCACTCTTCAAAAATCTAATTCCATTGCACTGAGATTAACTGTAATTAGATCATTATTTACATATAGGACAAAAGTTAAAATGATTAAAAGGAGAAAAAAAAAAAAAAACACACACACACACTACTACAAGCAAAAATAACTGGCAGAAAAGGGCAAAGATTTCCTCTGAGAAGAAAATGTCATGCCTTTCTCACCGAGCAACATAATTGTTATAAATATGTAGTTAAACACAGTCTACACCATTGTGTCAGCACTAAGGATAAGCACTTGGATCATTGTTTTCAAGATTTTACATACAAGTTGGTCGAATGTATAAGAATTTTCCCCCTGAATATCAGGAAAATATCACGTCTTATGAGAGGACAGGATCAGACCTAAGAAAGAAAATGTTTTGTTTCAGTAATGCAGGGGATTAAGCAAACTGGCAAAAGAAACATATTGCAGCTTTTCTGTTAAAGAGACAGGGAGGTATTAAAAACTTTTTTTTTTAAAAAAAAAGTCTTTTTCCAGCTCTGATAAGACGTCAGCTCAGTAAAGCTGAAGAGGCTTCTAAAGTAGCTGCGTGTGTGATTCACGTTGTCTCTTTGCCTTTCAGATGCACAACAAAACCATCCAAGCAGTTTCATGTCAAACTAATTACCAGACTTTTACTGTGCTATTTCTAAACTATGGCTGAGAATTGTGAGATTAGCCGGGTGTCCAGCAGAAACACGGAGGGGAAGAGGAAACCTTCCCTACCACCCAAAATAAGATGCTGCTTCATTCCAGCTTAGCAGTACCCAGCTGACGGCCACGTCTTCTAGCAATGGCAGCAGTGCAGCTGTATGAGGAGATGGGCCAGGGAGGAATTGAGGAGAACTGGCTGTGTCCAACCTGCAAGCTTCACTGTGGAAAGCATTTCAGCTCCCACATAACGTGGGGCTGTTCACAGATTTCAGCTTACACAGGCTTTTCCAAACATCTATTTTTATTCCCAAAGTATTCCCTGTCACTGTATGATAAAAAGCAAGACTGGGCAGCATGGCTGAAGCTGTTGACAGATCTGAACGCCTTCGCATGCTGCTTGCAGCCTTGCTAATGACCACCTTGCTAATGCAACCTGCGCCCTCAGAGCCAAGCTGGGACATCATCCCTCTCACACCGCAGGTGCTAGGGTTTCCACAGCAAGGCTCTTGCAACCCAGAATCTTGCTAAAATGAGAGGACACGTGATAACAGTTTTGTGGAACCTGGGTGAGATTGGCAGGAAGGAAGGAAATCATCTGCTTGCCAAAACGACCAGCAAAAAAAAAAAAAAAAAAAAAAATCTACAACATAATAATAAAAGAGAAGAAGGAATAAAGAACATGTTTTGCCTCTCAATCTGAAGGAGAGGAGTGCTTCTCCCCTGATGCTGGTGTCTCACGTATGCAGGCCTTGTAGAAATAAAGCTGGGACAAGCTCACTCTCTCCCTCCTCCTTTCTATATGCATTTTTCACAGGATAAAACTCACAGCACCAGGACCAGCCAGGAGGAATTCTCCATTCCTATGCATTTCCAGGCACCATCCAGCCTACCACCACCACCACACTGCTACCCCAATGCCCTAAAACCTCTCTGACCTACAGATCCTTCCAGGCACCAAGGCTTGGGGTACCCTGATGCCTGGCCCTGAGCACCAGCCTGCTCAAGTGCAGCTTGTGCAGCACCCACCCTCCGCACAGCAGCGAACGCTCAGCTGGAGGGGACGTGCACAGAGACCCTGCAGTCTGGGAGCAGGGACACCAGGGCTGCTCGGCCCGTGCACACGAGTGCAAGCTTTCCTCCGTGGACTCCACGTGGGCAGACCCAAGCACGTGCAGGACATCAGCGCTTTGAACTCAGACAACATCCAGAGTCATGGGATGAAGGTCACAGAGCTGCATGCCTGTAAACCTGCTCTCTGCCTTGCACAGAAGCATTTCTGCCACAATCTAACCTCTCACTGCACAGCTCCCTGCTTCTTCTCCATGCAGCAGCTCCCACCTGCCCTGTTCCATGCCTCCAGACCATTTCTATGCTCTGCAAGCTTCCACCAGCCCAAGCCTCTCCACATTTACTCTCCAAGTCCTCTGTTATCCTACCTTCTTACCCTTCCAGGAATGGAGCAGAGGGTCATACAGAGGACAACTTCCCATTCGCAGAACAACTCTGTATTTATTTCCAAGTAAGGAGAGTGTTTGGGTCTTAAAGATTAACCCTTTCATCTTGCACTCCTCAGAACCAGGTAGGACACGGAGGCAGAAAAGCTGGACTGCTCCCAGCACTGAGCCCTCCCACCACAGAGCCCCCGGGCTGGGGTAATGCTCTGCCCATGCAAACAGGAGAGGCAGTTCCTGCAAGATGCACATCACAACAAGTACATCTTCCACAGCTGCCAAAAGCAACCTGTTATAAATGGCCCTCTGTATTATGAGATACAGACTCTCCACAACATGGCTAATAAAAAATACCCTGTGATCCTTCTATGCTTGGAAGTGTAAGTTCACTAACAGTTCTGCTTATCCAGGCATTAAAAATGGAGTGTCAGGAAAATACTACTTTTAATTAAATTTCAATCATTTTGCAAAAAAAGATAAGGAGCTTGCTGCAGTCTCCCCAGTCCAGAAATAAAAAAGTCCTTCCTAAGATAACAAAACTCAAAACACCGAACAAAGACCATCACTTAACAAGAAAAGAAGATCTGTAAAAGAAAATACTTTTTTTTTTCTCCTCTCAGGCATTATGCATTATAACCAGCTACTCACAAAGCCAAGATCTGGATAGAAAGAGAGGGGATTTATAATGCGCTCTGCAATAACATGCTAGAGCCCTGAGACCAGGATTCCCTTGTGCACCGTACAAGCGCACGGAGAAGCCTACCCATGCTGATGAACAGCACGGCCACTGTAACCAAGGAAGGGATGCTGCTACTTCAGAGCCACCTGGAGCCCCGAGGATCCCTTTTTTCCCCCCTACCTTCTCAGGAGAGCATTCCAGCCACTTTCCATCCAGACAAACTCCCCCCCCCACCACCACACACACACAAAATGGCCTTGCGTAAGGGGGGCAGCTGATCCCAATAAACTCATGACAAAAAAAAACAAAAAAAAAACAAACAAACAAAAAAAAAAAAACCCTGCTCCCATCACCTAATCACTTTCAGCTGTTTCCTCGGACGTGCCTTTTCCACTTTATTTTCCTGCTGCAGTTTAAGGCTGACCCCCTCCCTCTTTCCCCTTCATTTCCCACACCCGTTTGACAGCAGAAGTGCACAGGTATCAGAGGCTCGCACATCTGAAATGCAGATGGAAATTGAAGTTGCATCCCCCAGCACCCAGCTAGCGGGCGGTCTATCCACACTGCCCTGCTCCAAAGAGGGGAATTGAAGCCAAGCGCTCCGCATTTCCTTTAATTTAAGGGAGCTGCAGGAGCCGCCGCGCACG